ACACACACAGCCACACGTGTGCAGGCCGCCCATCCGACCCCGACACACGCCAGAGTAGACACGTGCGGTACTCGTGTCAACAGCCCACAACGCATGCGTTGTTATGAAAAAAAAAAATCCGTTGATTGGTCGCATGCAGTGAATAATGGGTGGTTTCCGGGAATAGATAATTTTCGTTCTGGGGAAAAAATGAGAGAAGCCACGTTTGCGGGGGCTGTAGACCCTGGAGGCGACCTCGTTGAATCCCAGCTCGCTGATTTAAGTGCTAGTTGAATCCAGGTTATTTAAATTGATTTTAAAGAAGAAAAAAAAACGGGGAATCTAACTCATCTCGTTGAATCCGAGTTCTCGTTGAATCCAAGTTCCACTGTACTTTTAGTTGGTAGGAAATTTTGAATTTGGCCCGGGTGGCGGCCGAAGCCTACTCTTATCGATAGTAGATCACCAAGGGATCTTTAACGTACGCAACTTACACATGGGCCCTGCGAGATTTTATGCCCTTGTCCGTGAAGGCTAGGTGTAGATTTTTCCTACCAGAAGATCAGGGGTGTGGCAAAAAGACAGCTGTAAGAAGGAGTCAAGGAGTAGCAGTAGAAAGGCTGCAGAAAGAGTCCGGAGCCCAGAGGAGGGGGCAAAGGAGGAGAGGGGGGAGGGGGCAGAAAGAGGAGACGAAAGCAGACGACAGAATATTGCTAGAGTAAGAGAGCAGGAACGGAGGTGAAAGGAGACAATTTGAGAGAAGAAAATTTTTCGGTCGCTACCCGGATTCGAACCCGGGACCTTTGAATGAGAGGTCAACACCTTAACCTCTAGGCCACGAGAAAAAGTTTGACGTCAATACTATTGATGAACAAGTTTGAGCGGGTGTGGGCCGCTTTAGCTCCTAGGGCCCGATTGGCCTACCATGACTTTTGACTTTTGGGCTTTCCATTTTATTTGTCCTTGTTGTTTTTGGTTTTTCTTTTGTGTTATTTTTTTCTTTTCATAACTGCTTCCGTCCGTACATTTCTGTGTGGGTCTTTACTGTGAAATCTTTTATATATTTGAAACATCAAAGCACAACGACAATATTGTCAATATATGTAAATTTATCTAAATCCGCAGCTTCCACAAGGGCATAGAAAGTCTTTGAAAGTCACCCAACGTTGGACAATCATTTTCTCGCTAATTTCATCCCTGACACGTACTGTAGTACACAGCGATCCCCACCTTCTTCAATCGCAAAAAATATACCTTGACTTCTTCTGTTCAAGATCGATAGATTGACATATATTTGCTGGGGAGGAAATTAATTGCCTCACTAACTAGATCTTGATACAGTGGGTGTCGCATTCAACAAGGTTGCCGGGACTGGCTTGTTGTCCTCGTTGGATCCGACCTCTCGTTGAACGTGACTGAGGCTAAAGGGAAAAAAAAGAGACAAGTTATTATATTACACGATGTACCAATACCAGAAATTAAAAAAGTTGTTCCCCCTGATGACGAAAATCTCAAACATCACCAGTGCCATTGTGTTTGAGCTGTGTTCTCACCGTCATTTCTGCATTTTAAAATTTGTTTTTCCGCAACACTTCCTCTAGTGTGGAGACGTACCCTCTCACATCTAGGCCTAGATATATAAAGTAAAGGCGGGAGCTTGGACTTTCAGATCAGGGGCAGAAAAGAATTTTTTTTTAAAGATGAAGGTCTCGATCTAGACCTACCCATCCAGAGTTCATCCAGTTTCACACAGCTCGCATGGCGTTCCCACCCACCCCCTCCCATCCCTACCGTAGGCTAACCCTCGCCCATCCTCTTGGCTTTGGGGCCCATTATTAGGAGGCACACTAGATCTCTAGCAATACAATGTGTTAGGAATCGGTGATGGGCCTTGTGCTCCGTGTGAGATGGAGAGAAAGGAGAAAAATTCTTCGCTTTTGGGGCCGCTAACTGACTGCTTTTATTTTTGGTTATCGCGACCTCGTTGAAAGCGACTTCAGTCTGTTTGCAACCTCGTTGGAGCCGACGTACATTTACAAAGAGATATAGAGGGAAAAATCGGGGATTAAGGATTGTCTCGTTGGAGCCGACTTCTCGTTGAATGTGACCTCGTTGAATGCGACACCCACTGTATATCATATACTCTATGTGCCTTTCTCGCCGAAGACGTTCAATTTTTTCTTTTCTTTCTTTTTTTCAATGCACGTAGGTCAAGTAGTGTGAGGTGTTCACAATCACACGGCCTCTATCCACACAGCACCATTCACAATCACACGGCCTCTATCGACACAGCACCATTCACAATCACACGTCCTCTATCCACACAGCACCATTCACAATCACACGGCCTCTATCCACACAGCACTGTTCACAATCACACGGCCTCTATCGACACAGCACTGTTCACAATCACACGGCCTCTATCGACACAGCACCATTCACAATCACACGGCCTCTATCCACACAGCACTGTTCACAATCACACGGCCTCTATCGACACTGCACTGTTCACAATCACACGGCCTCTATCCACACAGCACCATTCACAATCACACGGCCTCTATCCACACAGCACCATTCACAATCACACGGCCTCTATCGACACAGCACTGTTCACAATCACACGGCCTCTATCGACACAGCACTGTTCACAATCACACGGCCTCTATCGACACTGCACTGTTCACAATCACACGGCCTCTATCCACACAGCACCATTCACAATCACACGGCCTCTATCCACACAGCACCATTCACAATCACACGGCCTCTATCGACACAGCACTGTTCACAATCACACGGCCTCTATCGACACAGCACTGTTCACAATCACATGGCCTCTATCGACACTGCACTGTTCACAATCACACGGCCTCTATCGACACTGCACTGTTCACAATCACACGGCCTCTATCCACACAGCACTGTTCACAATCACACGGCCTCTATCCACACAGCAACATTCACAATCACACGGCCTCTATCCACACAGCACCATTCACAATCACACGGCCTCTATCCACACAGCAACATTCACAATCACACGGCCTCTATCCACACAGCCCGCAGCCGTGTGCATGAAGCAGATCAGGCGTTGATGGACAGGGATGGAGCTCCCAGCATACACTAACCAAAGTAAAGTTGTTCCCACATCCGATCCAGACATTGGAGATTGCCTTGTCAGTGAGACAACTTCCTGGGCCTTCAGCATATATTTGTGGTAGGGTGGTCAGTTCCTTTCCACGCCGCCTTTACTTCCCCAACTCGACAAAGTCAGGTACCCATTACTGCTGGCTGGGCAGGAGGGGGCGAAAAAAATCAGAGTCCGAACCGAGGCTCGAACCCGGACTTTCCGCTTCGGAGACGAGCGCACTAACCGCTCCGCCACCGCACCCTCACTACTACTATTACTACTACTACTACTACGAGCAAAATGCCCAAGTCTCAACCAATCGAAAGGCAGATCATATTCCGGAATGGCGTGCGAAGCGGCATTGGTCTCGCCGCCGCCTTCTTCATCCTATATGCCTTCGTGCCCATCCCAGTCCCGCCCCTTCCCAGAATGATTGACAGGCTGGTGTACACGCTCCGCCTCCAGAGCTTCTCGGTGCTCACGTTGATTGGCGGGGTCCTGATCGTGTCCCTGCAGCGCTACTTCACCATCGCCGTGGACCCAATCAACGGGCGGGGCGAGCACCACGTGGCTGTCAGCACTCGCTACCTCACCAACACCGTGGAGCAGTTCCTCATCAGCTTTGTGGGACAGATGGTCCTCACCACCTACCTACCGGAGAGACAGATGAAAGTCATCCCCATCCTCGTCGCTTTCTTCGTCTTCGGCCGCGTCTCCTTCTACCTGGGCTACCGGAAGTCCTACCTCAACCGGACCCTGGGCTACGTGGCCACGTTCGGCGTCAGCGCGGTCTTGTGGCTGTTCCTCACGTGTCTTGTGGTGTCCAGTCTATTCACGTGACACCAGGACTTGGAAGGCTACATGGCAAAGGAACGTGGCAACACGGCAACATAGCCACGTGATAACCGGATGGTTCGGGTACATCGCCACGTTTGAGGTCAGCGTGGTCTTGTGGCTGTTCCTCACGTGTCTCGAGGTATCCAGTCTATTCACGTGACACCAGGACTTGGCTACATTATTTTGTACATACATGGCTACACGACACCAGAGCTACACGATAACAGGACAGTTGGCTACATCGCCACGTTTGAGGCCAGCGTGGTCTTGTGGCTGTTCCTCACATGTCTTGTCGTGTTGACCGTTGACGTGTTGGTCTGTTCACGTGACATCAGAACTTGGCTACATGGCTACATGGCAAAGAAACGTGGCCACATGGCAACGACGATGGTTGGCTACGTGGCCGCGTTTGGCGTCAGCGTGGTCTTGTGGCTGCTTTGCCACGTGTCTCGTTGTACTCACGTGACATGCGGAAATTGGGTAGGCTACATGGCTACACGACACTGGAACTTGGCTACACGACAACAGAACTTGGCTACATGACAACAGAACGTGGCTACATGACAACAGAACGTGGCTACATGACAACAGAACGTGGCTACATGACAACAGAACGTGGCTACATAGCTACGTAGCTTTACATGACAACAGAACTTGGCTACATGACAACAGAACTTGGCGACATGGCTACACGACAACAGAACGTGGCTACATGACAACAGAACTTGGTTACATGACAACACATGACAACAGAACGTGGCTACATGACAACCGAACGTGGCTACACGACAACAGAACGTGGCTACATGACAACAGAATTTGGCTACATGGCTACGTAGCTTTATATGACAACAGGACGGTTGGCTACCTAGAGACGTTTAGCGTCAGCGTTGCCATGAGAGAGAGAGAG